TAGTAAGTTTATGATTTTAAACTTATTCCAATGAATGAACTTTTTGTGCCGTTAAAAGGTAATTATGTAAATTAACATTTATTGTACTGTTTTAATAGTTTGATAGTTTCAATACATTATATTAAACTTATCGAAAAGTTTGAACTTAGTTGAGATGGATGATATGTATAAAAAAATTATTGTTTACGTCTATTTAGGTAAAATTATAAATTTTTTGTTATTGTTCAATTTAAATAGTTTGGACAGCTTCAATACTTGATATTAAACTTGTCCAATTGATTGAACTTGGTTTCTATAGTTGATATGGGAGAAAAAGTTATCGTTTATGTCTATTTGGGACTTTTTTACCTTTAAAAAGTAAAAATACAAATTAAACTTTTGGATGGCTTTCAACAGTTTGAATGGCTTTAATCCATTATATTAAACTTGTCCAAATAATTGAATTTAGTTGTCATGATCGAAATGTGTGAAAGGCCAAAATACTTTTATGTACGTTTGCATTTATTTAAGACTATTGTGTTGTAAAGGGACCAAAATATAAATACATGATTTTAACATTAATAAAAATTTTGAATTTGATTGATAGGCAGGATATACATGAATAAGTTACAGTTGATATGTATCCTATCAAATAACAAATGTTTTTGTATAGAGATTGAGATAGGTAGTCAATTAGACGTGTGAAATTTTTTCGCTTAACACACAAAAAAAAGATAAATCTTACATGAATGTCAAAACACAAAAAATTATAGTAATTTGTAATATTTATTTTAACAAAAAGTAAATATTTACTCTTTTTAACATATTATCAATTAATTATTAAACTTGATAATTGTATATGACTATTTTATAGGAGAAAGTGAAAGAGAAAATGGTTATAAGATTGAAGTAACATCTAATGGTTCTCTCAACATGCAAGAGTTAAAAAATTGAATATTTATAGAAGTTGCTGAAAAAAAAAGGCATGAATGGGTCTGAGGCCTTGGATTGGGTCCAACACCATCTACCTACTATAGATGAAGCTCTCAGCAATTTACATTCTCAGCAAGTCAGTCTTTACGAGACATTTTTATATTGAGAGAGGAGTTGCAAACTATGCAATAACATTTCCAGCAAATGGAAGTAGAAAAAGAACAGGAGCGTGCCAAAATTAAGGAAAAATGTGCTAGAATAGAGCAAGAGCGTGCAAAATTTCAGCAGTTGCATGATCGATTCGATCATCTTATGAATTTTGTGCAACAACAATTTTCAGTAACTAATCTCAGTGGTCCTCCAACTCATGTATTATATTTAGTAAATATTTATTTTTTTTTAATATCAAAATAGCTTACAATGAAATGTTAAAAATTATATGTTATTATTCAGTAGGTTCTTAAGCACGCTAGTGACCAAGGTAGGAAAATTCTTTCATCAATTGGCAGCCTTCAAAATGTATGCAGTCATCAATTTCATACATTTTAATTTTTATTTTGTTAATGTATTAAAAAAATTTGAATGTTATTATACTAATTATTAAATTTTACATTAATTAGATGTATATTCGAATGTGAATTAAGTTTATATTAATTTCAGTATTTGAATTTAAGCTCGTTTATGAAAATAATAAATATTAACAGAAATTTTTTATTTAAAAAAATATATTTTTTAATTTCACGACATTTGTGTTCAAGAATGTCGCTAAATGAATAATTTAGTGACGTTTATTCCATAAAATACCATTAAAAGTAGCAGCACTATTTGCTAGAAACCTTGCTAAATTAGCAGTGTTTTTTTGAAACAAATACCACCAAAGTAACGACGTTTTTCTGATAAAAATATCATTAAATTAGCGGCGTGTCAAAGATACAAATACCACTAATATAGTGACATTTTCCAAATACAAACACCGCTAATATAGCGACATTTTTCAAATAAAAACGTCGGTAATATAGCGACATTTTCTAGATACAAACGTTGCTAATATAGTGGCATTTTTCAGATACAAACGTCGTTAATGTAGCCAGCACTCTGACTAGCATTGTTCACAAACGTCACAAATCTTTTAGTGACGTTTATAAACGTCGTTAAATATATAAAAAAAATGTCACTAAAAATCAAAATCCCTGTAGTGAGATGAGTTTGGTTGTGACAAGAATCAACTATAACGTTATCCACTTTATACGTTTTTCACCAAAAGGGGAATCTATGCATTAGGAAAAAGATGGTTTCAAAATGACAATTCTTTTTTGTAGGATTTTAAAATCCATAACTTCAAATTAGAGAAAGATTAAAGATTAAAGAATTAACACAAGAAATTGGAGAAAAATGAGATTATATCATCAAAATAAATAAGTTTTTTTTTTTTTTTTGAGAGAGGCAAATAGAATCCAAGTTTAGTAATTTCATTTTGATTACTTTTCTAGTTTTGTGGGTTTTTATTTTACTATCATTCAAGCTATGCTTCTTTATGTGAATATGCAATCATTTATATGTATTTTGAGATTGATTTTGAAGTAAGAAAAATAGAATGAGATATAAAGATTATTGTGACAAAAATTATACTTCTTTATGTGGGTATGTAATCATTACCATGAATTTTGGAATTGATTTTAGAATAAAAAAATAGAATAAGACAAAGAGATATAAATTTTGATATTGATTTTGGAGTAAAAAAAATAGAATGAAATAAAGATTATTTCGACAAACATAAGAATGTGATTGTTGTAGGTAAATAGAAATAAAATTATTTTTATTTAATTAATATGAGATATTGACATGGAAAAAGTATGCTGATGTGGAGTTCAGGTAAGTTAGAATACTTTTGTTTAGCAATTAAGTTTAAAAGTACTCTGATAAGCGAAATAAAGTTTCAAAGTGTAGTAGTTTGGGAAAAAACTCCCCCAATGCTTCTCCCTATTTTAGATAAGATACCCATGTCACAGGATTCAGTGGGCAGCTCAAGGAGTCTGACCTAAACTGCAACTGAGGAGAAAGATGCCCGTGATGCTCTAAAGTTTGGTGTCCATTTCCTGATTGTCAGGAAGTAACCCCCCACAAACCATGGCCCTTCTTAATAACATACTCAGAGTCACTCGAGCTTTGAAATTTAATGAGAAAATAATCACTTCCAAGATCGATAGTTAGGAACTTACCTTGGATTTTTCACAGTTGTTTCAGTTTGAACACTAGGTATTGATAACCTACTTTCTTTCCAAAAACTTTAACTATCCGTGACCTTGTCCATTTCTCTTTAATCCGTATCTTCTTTTCCTTTGTGAGGGTGACGTTAACCTCATCTGATTCACAATTATCCTCTGAGTTTAGACCTTCTTCATCAGACTCTGTATCTGTTTTCATTTTTTTTTTCTCTTGTGAAGACAAGAATTGCTCAAAACCCCGGTTGGATATTCCAAGCAAAGAGTCTCTATATGAGATGATTTGTTTTTCAAGATTAAAACCTGCATTTTTAGTTGCAGCCTGGTTGCTTTGGACATGGGATTCCTTGATCCAATTGACACTGCACTCTAGCTCTTATTGCTCCTCAGTTGAGAGTGTGTTTCTTTCGAGTTTTCCATTCCCGCACTCTATTGGCAACACTCCCCCTCGTCTTAATATCATCTTTATTTGTCTCAAAAAATGTTGCGTCTGAAAAGTAAAAAAATATTCTTTTTTAATCAGTCATCATCAGACTTCATAAGTTAAAGTAGTTGTACCATCTGCACCGTCTCGATTTATAAATTTAATGTGAAATTTTTTTGAACGATTCTATTATTAAAAAAAATCTCTTCTTATTCTATTTTTTTTCATAAAAAAAATAGTTGTACCATCTGTCAAGGAATGTGAGGAAAAAAATTGTACAATTTTGTAGTTTGGTGACTATGGGTTCCTTAGAAATTGGGCTAGAACCGGCGCGTGCTTGAAGATCAAATGCTGACTAGACTTGACTTTCACTTGTATCTGTTGGAGAGCATCAAATTTGGTTTGATGATTTGTCAAACACAATTGTGAGAAAGAATAATTAAATATTATTTTTCTTTTCAAGTATTTACTTATAAAACATTAAATATTATTTAAAAAAGAAATTGCAACAAAAAAATATTATAAATTATAAGATTTAAATTTTACTTTTATTGGATGTGATTTTTATTAGTGATTATATAAAACAACAAAATAAATTTCAAATTTAAATACTACTTTACGATGTAATTACTTTTGAGCAACTTGAAGAATTCACATAAAACTCTTACCTTTTATTTAGATAATAAAAAAAATGACATAATGTAAAATTAATAAAAAAATTTGTTTAATGATAATAATAATTCTTCTTCATTACTAATTGGACCAAATACTATACTTTATTTGAATGATAATAATAATTCTTCTTCATTACTAATTGGATCAACTACTATACTTTATTAGTTGATCTTAATTAAATTATTAAGAGTAAAAAAATTCTTAACTTCAAATAAATCGAGATTTTATATGATATATCAAGATTCATTAGATTTGATAATTTATACATTTATATTATATAAAATAATAAAATTTATGTATTCATATAATTATATGAAAACTATATATGATATTTTGTGTCAATATGAAAATATAAAATATATTTTTTATTATGTTAAATTCATATATAGTTATTACTATAATTTTAATCATATTATCTTTAAATTTATTTTTCATATCATATTTATACCGTATTATTATATCATATATTTAATTATCAGATTTAAGACACATTATTAAAATTAAGTTTTAAAAACAGTTAACAAGTTGACAATTTACAATTTACTACAAAATCATATTAACAATTATTTATTTTTTTGAACAGTATAATAATTTATTAGTAAATAAAAAAATTATGCCGAGTTTGACAAAAAGGTTAGATGAGAAGATCTTAAAAAAAAAAATTTTAAGCGATGGTCAAACCTACCAACGGTTACAGATGGATTAAGAACAACTTTAATAAAATCAACGCGTAACACTACATCGTACCGACGGTACAAATCAAATTCCGACCGATATTATTTCCCTCTCCAAGTACAGTCCAAATTAGGAACTAAGTAACTTTTTCTCGTTTCAAATCAAAACGAACTCTTCAACAGAAACCTCTCCCACGCTGACACAGAATCTCTCGAACCCCCCTAAATTTTAGCTCTTCTGTCTGAAAACCTATCCCAATTAATAAAAATTAATGAAAAGAGCTCACTTTCCTTATTCTCCAGATCGATCATGGCTTTTGCCAGTGCTTATAATCTCAATCATTTCACTCACATTTCTTCTCGCCTTAACTTTTACCCAAGGTGATAAATCCTCTTCTTCCGAAACCGATTTCTCTTTTCACCAACCGAAATTTACCTTCTCCGAACGGGATTACGGCCGGTTACCCAATTTACCGAGATTTGCTTATTTGATAGCGGGGACAAAAGGAGATGGGCCACGTGTCAAGCGGTTGTTGCAGGCGGTTTATCATCCAAGGAATTGCTATGTGCTCCACCTTGATCTAGAAGCTTCGGATTCGGAACGGTTGGAGTTGGCTAAGTATGTGAAATCAGAGAGCGTGATTAAGGAGTTTGGGAACGTGATGGTGATTGGAAACGCTGATTTGGTGACTTATAAGGGCCCCACTATGATTGCTAGCGCGCTTCATGCGGTGTCCATATTGTTGAAGGAAGCTAAAGATTGGGATTGGTTCGTGAACCTTAGCGCATCAGATTATCCCCTCATGTCTCAAGATGGTAAGAAACATTTCTATTATAATCTGACTTGCAATTGTTGGCAAACTGGTTGGCAATCAGAGGGATTGAATGATTTGAAATGGGGGTCAAACGTAGCAGTAGGATTTAGATAATGTTATTGGAATTTTAATGATGGTTGATGGTGATAAGAGCATGAAATTATAATGTAATGTACTGAGTACTGTTTATTTATTTATTTTTGTATTATAGTTAGAACTTAACAGTTGGGATGTACTCAAAAAAATTGTTTGTGGCATATATTTGGTGATAACTTTTGCATGAAATGGTGGTAAAAAGGTCAAAAGCAACTGCTTATAGTATGTGGGAGACTAAGAGCAAGCTTGTTTCTTCAGGGGATTCCTCCATTGTTTGGGGTGTTTTTAACTTGGCTGATTCTCAGGCTGTTTTTCCCTACACACACCAGGCAATTACCGTATAATCCCTGGTAGTTTTTCCCTCTGTGAATTAGCTATCATTGCCATCTGCAATTGGTTTTGCAGCAACTCTAGTTTTTGCATTCTCTTGAGAAAATTAACAAATGTAAAATTGTGCTAGGCCTAAGCATGTTTCAGTAATCTTGCTGACTGCGTACTGATTTTGTTTCAGATATTGTGCACGTCTTTTCTTACTTGCCTAGGGATCTGAACTTCCTGGAGCACACCAGTAGCATTGGTTGGAAAGAGTGAGGATACGATACATTTTTCCCACTTCCTGTACAGTGTACTTGTCTCTACGGTGTTCTCTGAATGTAACTTCATTCTGTGTTTGCAGACACCAAAGAGCAAGGCCTATCATTATAGATCCAGGCTTGTATCATTCAAATAAATCTGGTGTATTTTGGGCTAAGGAGAAAAGATCCTTGCCTGCTTCTTTCAAGTTATTCACGGGTAATGCTTTTATGTTTTCATTTTTTATTTTCCATTGATCTCTCCACCCCAAATTATTTTACTAGTAAACTTGATGTTAGAACATCCTTGAATAAGTTAGGCTTATCACTTTAGTCTATATGGAAGCCTGCAGGTGGCATCATATGGTTTTCATAGATTTAAGTAGATGTAAGAGGCACAAGTAAATGGATGCTATGTTATGTATTTTATAAATGGTAGATATGGTAAATGAGCGTTTATTAGAAATAATTTGCAATTCTCAGATTTTAGTTTTGCTGTTGAAGATTGGCATCTGGTTTTTGTTAAACCATCTTAATATAGCAGGGGGAATTGTGGAAGAGTTTTAGAACAAGTTAGACATAATATCCTGAAATGTTGAGTCAAAGTTAACCCGTGGTATTTGCTGGGTGAAATGTTTAGTGATCCTTATGCAAAGGTGCATATCATAAGCTTCTAATGGAAGTAAATCACTGTTTTTAAGTTTTGTTTTAGCTATTGTTGCAGTCTTTGAAAATTTGCCTGTATTCTAGATTGCTGTCCTTCAAATTATCATCTTGTATCTGGAAATAACATACCCGAAGAGTATGTTGTATGAACTTTGAACATAAGCATATGTTATAGATAATTGCTTATTTATAAATTTTACAAAATCATATTGCTATATGTGATTGATTTGTTATACTTCATATCCTGAAATTTTGATATACAATTCCAGGATCCGAATGGGTGGTGCTGACAAAATCATTTCTTGAATTCTGTGTCTGGGGATGGGATAATCTCCCCCGAACTCTCCTCATGTACTATACAAATTTCCTGTCCTCTTCGGAAGGCTACTTCCACACTGTAATCTGCAATCACAAAGACTACCAGAATACAACCTTAAATCATGACTTGCATTATATAAGATGGGATAATCCTCCAAAGCAGCACCCAATGACTCTAACATTGGAACATTTTGATGACATGGTTCAAAGTGGAGCGCCTTTTGCTCGCAAGTTTGCCAGGGATGATCCAGTCCTCAACAAAATCGACAAGGAGCTCTTAAGGAGATCCGACGGTCAGTTTACCCCAGGGGGTTGGTGTGTGGGAGGTTCCTTTCCGGGTAAAGATCCTTGTGCAGTTTATGGGAATCCAAATGCTGTTAAACCTACTATAAGTTCAAAGAGGCTAGAGAAACTATTGGTGAAACTTCTTGATCCTCAAAGTTTTAGATCAAAACAGTGTAAATAGTTTTTTATAATGCTCAATATGCTTCCCCAATTTTTTGTCACGTATCTGATGGCTTATTGTCTCCAGGTGGTCATTTGATATAGTTTTCTTGGAGGCTCTCTCTTTTCAGCTGGGACGGATATCAGAATGGTTTAAATCATCTTTAAAAAATAATAATTAAGCTATAAAAAAGGAGGGACAATCTCTTGTAAATGTTGACTAAACGCTTTGGATCGGTCAATGAGCCCAGGTTGATTTGCTATAGCCCATCAAAAAAGCCGATTAACAACTCAACCAATTTGTGACGAGTGGTCGTTCGTGGACTAATTTGTAATTTCGAATAAAAAGTGAGGGCTAATGCTGAAATTTCGAACAATCTATTCATGAAAACATAACATTTAGCGGGAACGCAACTCGTTTCTGTTTCGTTCAAAAGCTTTATATTTCCGTTTTTTTTTTTTTAGGGTTTTTCTCTGCTTTTAATCTTAATTAATTCACCGATTAATTCAGGTTCGTCTCCTTTCTTCTTTCCTTTTGATTTGAATTTCTTTATCAATGCTAATTTTGTTAATAATTTGTGATTAAATCAACCCTCGTCATGACCTCTCCTTTCTTCTTCCTTTTTATTTGAATTTCTTTATCAATGCTAATTTTGTTAATAATTTGTGATTAAATCAACCCTCGTCATGACCTTTTCTTCACATATCTTCGCTTTTCTTTTTAATATTGCTTTTTGATTTATAATTTATGTTTTTTTAGGTTGAAGGAATGTGAATAAAAATGATTTGGGCAATATTAATATCACAATTTTTTATTGGACTTAATCTTTGTCATTGTTAATTGGCCAATGGGAGAATCTAAAATTTGTGCAGAGTTCATCATCAGCAGATGCTAAGTTAAAGTAGCAGCATTGCATTGAATTCTTACAATGTTAATTGAAATTCAAACTTTAGTCAATTCTTGCATTAGATTGACTTGGACTATTTGCTGTGGTTGGAATCTTGTTTGATGAAGTTTGGGTTAGCTTGATCTAGAGTTTTTATGGTCTTTTCGGTAATGCGGCTAAAAAGAGTTTAATTGCTTTGTTTTCTGGTAAGGAAATTAGTGACTGAATATGATGGATGACCCACATTTAGACGATAGTCCTTCTAGTGAGCAGAGTCCAGTTGCCACTCCACCAACTGCTTCAACTTCTGAGAGTGCTTATCAGATGAATCAGGCAGCGGTCAAGAAGAAGAATGCTAGTGCTGATGTTGTTCATGGGTGGTTATAACTTTCATATGATTTTTGTTTCTTGTTCTACACTTATTTTACTCGGTTGTTGTTATATTTGCTTTAGTAACTATATGTAAAAACTTGAGGTCTGTTAGCTTGCAAGAACATGGTACTTCAGGCTTATCTATTTTCTTTAGTGTCTTTCCCTTCTTCTTAAATCTTAGTTTGTGATATTCTCTTTTTTATGTTTTTTCTTTCTTCTACATTACCAGTACTACGACGAAAAAGGTATCAAGAATGCCTGGTGGAGGACTACGCCAGTTCAGTGTTATGGGTTAGTAATTCTTATTCTTATTTATTAAATTAGATGTGATCTATTTTCTTTGGTAATTTTGATGCTATCTCAATTCTTAATTTATTCTTGGGAAATATAGGAAAGCTAGGCATGTTAAGATTTAGAGAGGTCAATGTACTTAAATTATTAATTTTCACTAAACCACTGATGACTAATTTTGTCTTCCATGTTCATCTTAATTGACTCGAATAATTTTCTCAGTTTGCAAGATGTTGGAGAGTAAGGGCAGCACCACATATGCTGAGGTATGTATTCTCAATAAGATTTGTTTTCGTAAATAAGTTTGTAAGACCTCTGAAGGAAGTCATGAGGCAGATTTATTTAAAATTTTACTGTTGTAATTGCTTTTCCCTTCAAGGCATGTGAGGCTTTCTCATTATACATAAATGTTGTCACTAGACTAATTACTTTAGAGGTTCATCATGTGAGTGTGAATGATATGGTTTCAAATGAGAATTTTATTGAGTTTTGAGAAGTTTACTATAGGTATAAATGTTCAGAATAATATATTCTGAGAACCTGATAACTTGGTTCCTGTTTTCCATAAATATGAACAGATGGTTGCATGTTGGAGTTTTAAAATTGGAATTACATCTTTTTATGTAACATATATCACTTGAGAAATTGTTGTGATGCTTTAGAATAGTGGAATATGCTGTCTAACCAAACCTATCATGGTAAATCACTGTGGTCAATATAGTATGTAAAAGGTTTCAGTCCTTTTCTGAGAGAAGATTTTCTCCTTTCTTGATTAGAGTATCTCTTTCTGTATATTTTCTAAAGCAAGCCTGAATTTTACGAGTTAGGTGGTTTATGATTCTCAGGTTGCCGATGAAATTATAGAAGAGTTTGCCGCCACTCAGAGTAATAAAGCAGGATCCTTGGATGAGGTTTAATTCCCCATAAATTTTAAGTACTTGTTCTTTAATTATCTGATGCTGTGACTCACTGAAATGTATTGCAAAACAAATGAGCGTTTTGGTTTTTTCAGTTCCACGAGAAGAATGTTCGACGACGGGTATATGATGCATTAAATGTACTTATGGCAATGGATATTATTATGTGGGAAAAGAAAGAAATCAGGTGGAAGGGACTTTCTACTACACAAACAAAGGATTTGGAAGAACTTAAGGTTGATAATCTTCTGAGAATGATATAACAACATTACTTCATAGAACTCACACATTTCGCCATGAGCACATGAATTCACAGGAGGAAAGAGTGTTCAAGGAATCAGATTACCGTGACTTTGTTTTTTATGCTTGTAGGCACTGCATGTTCATTTAATGACAGGGATTGCAAAGAAGGCAGCCTATTTGAAAGATTTAGAAGAACAAGTAAGTTTCTTTTGATTTACTGTCTAGACATCATATTGGTATTAATAGAAAACCTGATTGTACTCTAGATTTGGAGAGAGAGAGAGAGACAGATACTCATGAGCCATTGACCACTTAAGTGCATAAATGATATTTTTCTCTTTTTTATTTTGGCGTGCTCCTGATCTGTTAGTAGGATATCAGGTTGAAACTTCATCATCGGCATCTTTACCTCCTAAGAAAAACTTGGGGTGACAACTGTTTGAAGTTATATGTTATTTGCTCCTTTTTTTTTCCTGCTTAATGAAGTGGGTTTATCAGCTTGATAGCCTAAAGTCTATGAAAAAATTGAAAAGATTGCAGGTCTCCAGAATATAATCGAACGAAACCAGCAAATGCTCAAGAACAATAGTGCTCTCAAAGAAGGATTTACCTTACCATTTATTCTGGTTCAAGTATGCTTGGTTCTCTCTTTCTCACAAGTTAAAATTGTTCTTTGGTTTTTTTTTTTTTCCCTGCTTTGGTATGTGGGTATGTGTGACAATTTATATTCAGGGTTGTTATTAATTTCAGTAGTACTCATTTGCTTTCTCCCATATTTACAGACTAGTTCCAATGCTACTGTTGAAATTGAGATTTATGAGGACATGCAACTGGTACACCTTGACTTCAACAGGCAAGTATACTTCATTTTACCATGGAAAATATAGTAACATTTTTCCTTTAAAATTTTGATTTTTAGCTTAGCAGTCACAGCTTTTGTTCTCATTATTTCATCTTTTGGGCAGTACACCATTCTACTTGCATGATGATGCTTACCTTCTGAAGTTAATGCGGCACTACCAACAACCAGAAAGTAGAAATATTTCGCAAAGTCCTTCAATTCATTCATCTTCAAGCTCTTGCAAGGCATCTGGAGTCAGCAAACCTTTTCACTAGAATTCTGAAATAGACAGTTAGAAGATGGTAAGTCAGGAAGATGAATAGAATCACTATAGCCCCTAACAAACACAAGTAAAAATGAATCCACGGTACAGTGTTATTTAATTAAAAAAGGTATGTGATTATTTTGTATCTCTTACGAGATCTTTGGATATGGTTTTCAGCTATGGTTTGGGGGGAAGGCTGGGGGCTTGTGTTTGGTTTTTTGAGGACCTAGTGGAGGAAATGCGTAAAATACTGAAATGGTATAAAATTTTTTAAGTTTATGGAAGTTATTTAACTGCTAGTGCTTCTGCTTCCTCATCTTCTTTCATTTACGTTTTACCTCCCAAGGAAGAATCCTAAGCAGGATCGGGCTTGACAGTAAAGCAAATTCTTTCACTCTCTTTACTTGTCGGAGGGGCTGGTGCCATTGACGGCCCATTGGATCCATAATTTATCCTGAAAATCGAAGTAACTAAAAGATACTAGATTTTGGACCGCAAAGAAAGGCTATATCTATTTTCCTATTGGGGACCAAACGGCAATGGCTTGTGCCGCATCCCACAGCTAGCGTAACATGGCATGCACCTCAAAAGTAGAGTGTGGAATAGCACTGGAATTTATATATTCCCATCCCATGCAAAAATAATAAAGGAAACAAAGGGGGAAGGAAACAGGCCAGACCGGGGGAAAAAAGTTCATTCGGTCGGGACACTTCGATCGTTGCACACCGCTACAGCACCCCTCAAGAAGTAACATTTTATAAATTACTAATTAAGAGTTCCTTAATTCTTAACTAATTAAACTCAATTAAATCTCACAATAAATCATAATTAAACCTTATTAATTAATTAATATAAGTTGGTTTACACTCTCCCTTCTCATCTATTTCAAGTGATTAATTTTTATTTTTTGGTACAAAAGAACTTATATTTTAAGAATATATAAAAATATTAAAATTTAAATCTCAAATTTATTAGATAAAATATTTTTAAAATGATTATATGAATCATTTAAATTATATTTTAAGTTTAAAATACCAACTTTTTTGCATGTAAGAGGACAGCAACGAATCTCATTTTGTCTAAAGTACTGTGAATCACTAAACTTCACTCTATGATCAGCATAAGGAACAAACAAGAAGCTTATAGGTTAAGAAACATCACCTTCTCTAAACCCTTAAAAGCAATAAAACAAAAAGAGTCGACCGAGAGAAGGAACAAGAACTTAATTATATATATAATATATGAATAAATATACTATATATAAAGGACCCTCCTTTTAATTTTTTTCTTCTCTCTTCATTCCACATCTCCTCTTCTTTCTTTCTCTTTTCCCTTTCTCTCTTTCTCTAACACTGTCTCTTTGTTTGATGTGATTCTCCACTATTATCTCACAAAAACCCAACAAAACTTTACAAAAAGGAAAAGAAAGATCAAGAAACCATGGTTTTTACCCCCATCCCAGCTTATCTTGATCCAGCCAACTGGCAACAAGTAAGGGTTTTTTTCTTTGAACTTGTTTTGGAAAAGCAAAAAAATTCAAAAGATAAATATTCCTATTACTTTTGTTATATCTTGTTGAATATACCAGGTAATTGATTTTTTTTTTCTTGCTCTTTATATTTTTATAGCACCCAAATCATCAAGCTGGTCCTATTAGCAGTGCAAGTGCCCATCATCAGCTTCCTCCTCCTCCACCACCGCCACCACCTCAACAACCACATGGAGGAGGTGGAGCAGGCTCGATCCGGCCCGGTTCGATGGCCGATCGAGCTCGTTTGGCCAACATACCGATGCCAGAAGCAGCATTAAAATGCCCAAGATGTGAATCAACTAACACAAAATTTTGCTACTTCAACAACTACAGTCTTACACAGCCTCGTCACTTTTGCAAAACTTGTAGAAGGTACTGGACTAGAGGAGGTGCCTTAAGAAATGTTCCGGTTGGAGGTGGATGCCGTAGGAACAAAAGAAGTAAAGGAAGTAGCTCGAAATCTCCGGTCAGTGGTGACCGACAAGCAGCTTCTGGCTCCTCAAGCACGATTTCTTCGAACAGTACTGGAAGCACTGATATTTTGGGCCTTGGACCTCAGGTTCCTCCACTGAGGTCCATGGCTCCTTTGCAACATCTTACTGAATTTGGTGGCAGTGATATTGGGTTGAATTGTTGGACAATTTCAGCTCCAGTTGGAGGAACAAGTGATTTAAGTTTTCAAATAGGAAGCGCTTTAGCCAGTGGAGCTGGTGGTGCTGGTGCTTCTCTTGGTACTTCTCTTTTAACTATGAGTGGTTTGGATCAGTGGCGGCTGCAACAAGCGCCGCAATTTCCCTTTCTAGGAGGCTTGGAATCTTCTTCCGGGTTGTACCAATTTGAAAGTGGAGGTGTTGATCACCCATCTGGTTATGGAGGTGGAGCTGGTCATCAGGTTCGGCCTAAGATATCAAGCTCAACGGTAACCCAGATGGCTTCACTGAAAATGGAAGATATTAATAATCAGCAGGAACTGAATTTGTCAAGGCAATTTTTGGGGGCTCCAGGAAATGATCAGTACTGGGGAGGAACTGCATGGACAGATCTTTCCAGTTTCAGCTCTTCATCCACTACCAATCCTTTATAGATTTGGTTCTGATCTCTCTCTTGTTTCAAAAACAGCGTGCTGAAGCTTCGGGTTTTTTGTTAGTGTAGCTTGATTAAAGAAAAATTAACCATGGTGAAGACTAAAGTTACTTACTTCCCAACTCCTTATGGCATCAATGATCAAACCTGCAGACACCCTTATCAAAGATGGATCATGACTTGGGTTCCTCAAAAATCGGCTTAAACCCTAGAAATTGGTAGGCTTTTTTTTGTCTTTTTTTTTTTTTACTAGAAATGGTAGATTTCAATGTATGAGTATGTTTTCCCTAGTGAGTGTATCAGTTTATAGAGCTTGTATCTGGCATATACTGATGATGATATGCACTGCTCAAAATCTATCTGTTTAAGTCCTGTCATATGAAAATTAATGCCTCTTGATGATCTTCTTACAAGAGAAGCAACTTAGTTAATTACATTGCTAGTTCATAATATAATCGAATTATTAATCATTTGAATTCAAAAATTTTAAACAAAATTATCTGGAGGGCGTAGAATCATGCTAAGATTCATTTGGTTTGGAGTTTATGACTTCTTTTTAATTGCATGTTTATAGGCCTTCTTTCTTTCTTTCTTTCTTCTTCTTTTTATTTCTTTTATACCTTTTAAATCTTTCATTTTATTCTTAAGTTAAAGGTTGTAAAACTTGAAGAAATCTTATATTAAAGTGTAACTTTAGTTTATCATAAGTGTACGAATATGCAAAGTTTCATTTCGTCCTCCTCACAATGAATTCTGAACGACGACATTCACAGAATTTAGAACTCAAAGCTCTCTTAGTTGATTTGGATAGCATTATTTACAGTTTATTATCTATATCAGGTTGAAATAAGATTAATCAGCTTCCTCTTTAGCAGTTACTACTTTATTACAACATTTTTCCATATCAAAGAATATTTTAATACTCCCAGTCACTGTTTACCACTTATTTTATCAGAGACAAGAACATTCTTCTCTGATTGTTTCCATAAGTATTATCCCACAAGCAGAATCTCTTTAGTGTCCTTTTTTTTTTTTTGAATGATAAGTGAAAATAATGCTTCAATGTTTTCAACGATCCATATAATTGTTTCTACTTTGTAGTTGTTTGCCTTGTTTTAAAATATTACTTTAGTCATGATTTTGCCTAAGGATTTCCAATTTGAAAGCAGGAGACAATGATCAACGAAATTTGCAGGTGTATAAATGGACGACATCCCAATATTTGTTGTTATATATCAGTTTTTCAGTTTTTTTTTTTTTTTTTGTTTTGTCTGTCTCGTTCAAGTCTGTAAAGATCCGAGAGTTAACGTTGGAGAAAAAGCTCAGGCTTGTCACATTGCTCAAACAATTGGATAGTTGATAGTTGATGATACGATCAAAAACATATTTCGAAAAGGAGTGCATTCGCCTATTTAGTGCATCCATAACTGACTTCACCTGGAAACCTTTAAAGGAAAATTATGGTTGCACCCCTACAAAAAGAGAAAGGGCGAGAGAGAGGGAACAAAGCAGAAAAAAAAAAGTGTTTTCCAGCTTACCTTGTTCAAGAGAAGACCTGCCTTTGGGTTTGGGGTGTTGCTATTTGTTTATTTTACTCAATTAACGTTGAATAAGGCCAGATCTCTGGTTCGAGTTTCCTACTTCTTTCACTCCAAATTTAGAGTTCATTTAAGCACGTAATAAGAAAGATTCTCACTACACTGTGAGTGTAGAAAAAAATTAATCAATAAAATGATACTTATAATGCAATAAAAATATCTTCTATCATGCATTTAAAGCGCCTTAAGAGACAAAGACCTAGATTTTACTATGTCTAAGCAAGGAAGTATTCACCATGCATGTTCATATATCTGATTGCTGCCATCATTGAAAGGTGAGACAGGAGAATAAAAGAGAAATTTCTGTATAAATCTATTTTGCTAATGGTAATATATGTGAAAGAAAAACCTCTCTCTCCCTGAGAATTAGGTGAGACATGAGAGACTGCTGCCATTATTAAAAGGGAATGATTTTGTAATAATTTGAGAACGTACTTGTTTGTATTGAGAGTGAAATGAAATCATAGTCATGAGAAAAATAACATTTTAAATAATTAATTACCTATTAATTATTAATTGTAGTAATTGTTAGAAAAATAAAATTAATTAAATGTAAGGACAAGAGTCTCAAAAGAATCCAAAATCCCACTCAAATTGAAATCTATATAACCAAAAATCTACATAGTATTCTTAAATATATTACTATATAAATAAATTAAACTGTTAACACAGAGAGAAGGAAAATAACGTAAAAAGACTGTCATGGCTACTGTTACAGGTCAAAGAAAGAGAGAGACAGAGATTTAGTAAGGCAAAGGCTATTTCTGGCTTTCGGACAAGAGAACGGAATGTCTGACCCATTTCCTAAGTTTGACGCGTGTAGCGCGTGTTGGTTTCACGACTCACTATGAGACAAAGTACTGGTGTGTCAGCATGTGGACCTGACTGCTCAGTCTTGGTCTCCGTGATTGGATCTTACAATGCACGAGCTTCATGGCTGCAGTTTTCTTTTTCTTTTTTTTTTTTTCCTATTACTCTGCAAAAATCCTCATGATTTGTCATGCTCTCTTTTCTCCTTCGCTCATCTTACCGACGCAGCAAACACTTACTCTTCAGTGCTTGGGTCGAAACATTGACTTCACATAGTGCAAATACTGCTAAATCTCCGAGAGCTTAAGCTTCAAGCTTCAAATTTGCAAAAAAATTCAAGCATCAAAGGAACAAACTTTATATTATAATACATTTGACAAACTACCCAGAATTTGGACGAGGGTTTTGGAAGGTCAATTGAACCTGACTCGTGCCACGGCTTGGTCCATAAAAACATCTAATTGGAAAGTTATGCTACTTGCTCCATTAATTTGAATTATAGAAATATTCGTATTTCATGACATGACATTCAATTATTTGGTATATTCAAAAGTGGAGTCTATTACTTAAGGAGGAAGTCAATTAATTCATAAATGAGATATTAAAATCAGATATAAATATTTGAGATAAAAGCGATAGCACCAATAATATTTTTAGATGGATTTCAGTATACTCAATAAATTGTAAAAAAAAAAAAAAAGTTTATTAGTAAATAGTAGACTGAATTAGATTTTTATTTCAAGAAAAAGAAGATTTTCAAACCGCTTATAAATAAATTTTTTTATTCTCTTTTTGTTTTGATCTTTTATTCATTAGTCCTAGCATTCACCTCTCCTTATAAGTTTCTGATGAAATGATTGTTTTGGACTTCATTCCAAGAGGATTAATAATCCGTGACCTGACGCAAACTTGATGTACTGTTATCTTTCTAAATATTTTCCTAATTGTTGAAACTTGTCAATTCCCCGATAAATTAGGCTTCATGTTTGCAGAAAGCTGGACAAAATATTCAGCAATATGGGACTAAATTCAATTGAGTAAAAACATAAAATTAAAACTGCAATCACCATTATAATTTGAAAACCAAAATCATGATTAGAAATCATGGTTGTGTTGGTCTAATGCACAAAATCAATATATAATATTAATTTTTAATTAGAGTTATTAATATAACATTAAATTCTTAATTTCAATAATTAAATATCAATATCAGACACTTAAAGTACCCAAAAAAAAAAAAAGACCTTCCCTTGATCATTAACTACAAACATCAATAATACAACTAATAATGTTATTATAATTAAGCTTATTACTATATATATTCAAACTGTAATTGGGTCATGTTGAAGGAAAGGAATGTGAATGAGTATTTGGGTTTTGCTTTTGCAAGAACCAAGGTTGATTACCAAGGACGAATAAAGCACATTCAAGAGCGTCAAAGGAAAACCCTTTCTCTCTCTCTCTCTCTCTCTCTTACAAAACAATTAGTCATACAGAGACAGATAAGATATGTTATATTAGTTTGGTCGGTCGGTAAGTTAGTCAACATCCTAGTTTTCTCAGTAATCAAAGCACTAGAAATTTACAATGATCCCCAAACTGTCGGTTTAGATATGAAATTAACGTTATGCACTACCTACCCCTCATATTTGTCCACATTTGATTTTTTTAGGTCAAATAAATTTAATTTTGATCATTTTTTAATAAAATCATAAAATATAAAATTTTAACTAATAAAATTTATAAATTTGGACTTTCAAAATTTTAATAATTTTTTAAAAAAATATTTAAAAAATAATAGTCTAACTTAAATGTATTTGAAAAAAAAATAAATCATGAACAAATATAAAAAGACAGAAAAATAATAAAAAAAAAGGAAAAAAAAGGGAAGAAAACTAGAAAGCCCGTACCAAAGAAGTAGTTGTAGAAAGAAGAAAAGTTTGGCTCGGAAATCCAAGGCAAATCAAAATCTCTAAACTCTGTATTCAATGAAATGAATTCCATGTTTGATAGGGGCACATGGAATTGTGTGCAATATGAGCAATAGCTGCAGCTTTCACTTTCGTAAGGTGTTTCTTTTTTTTTTTTTTTTTGGCTACAAGGTCTTTGTTAAAATACTAGCTAGTACTACTGGTTAAGTACATGAAAAATGAGGTATAATTAATTAATCAAGGGTGGTGATTGGTGAAAAAAGCCGAGTGTCTGAGATTCCAAGTTCTTCTAAGTCTGAGTCCTTCACGTTCTCCCACATGAAATTTATATTCCCCAGCCCAGCCCAGCCCCATTCACTCACTTCTCTCTCTTCTGATCCTTCAAATTTTGCCAACTCTCCTCTCTCATGACCCCACTTAAAAGGACCCAGATTCAGGCTTGGTATGCTAGATTAGCTAGCCACTCTACTTTCCTTAACTAGGGAAACAAATTGGGGGCTGGGGCTCAGGGAAGATTAGGGAGAAATTATTGTTAGATATGAAATTTTTTAATTTTATAAGTGAAATTAAAATGATGATATATATATTATTTTTTAAAATTAATTTTTTTATTATTTAAATACACATTAAGAGACATATATTATTATTTTAATTTTATTTGTAAAATTAAAAATTTTTGCTATCAATATATTAAATAATTTCTCTTAGACAAATGCCCACAGATAAATGTTTACCAGCCAAAATTTAAAGAAAAGAGTATTTGATATGATAGTTGTTTCATAAAAGTGAAATAAATATTAAGTTAAAATATTAAAAAAGTCATTGAATTATTTCATTTTTTAAATAAATTTTTATATTTTTATTATATTAAAAAAACTTATCTTTTAATTTGTATTTAAATAAAATTTTATTTCAAATAAAAAATTAATTTATATAGAACATTGATTTAGATACAAATTAAAAATTGAGGATTTATTTGAATGCAAATTAAAATTGAGTTATTTGAGTACAATAATAATATAGAGATTTATTTAAATAAAGTGATAAAATTAAAAGAATTTTTTTGTTGTTTTAGCCTAAATATTAATTATGAATGCACTAATTTAAAAAAAAATGAGATTAAACAAAATTTAAAAATGTTTTGATATTCTTATAAAAACA